ATAAGGGGCAGAGATAATTAATAACATGAAATAAGGGGCACAGATAATTAATAACATGAAATAAGGGGCACAGATAATTAATAACATGAAATAAGGGGCACAGATAATTAATAACATGAAATAAGGGGCATAGATAATTAATAACATGAAATAAGGGGCAGAGATAATTAATAACATGAAATAAGGGGCACAGATAATTAATAACATGAAATAAGGGGCACAGATAATTAATAACATGAAATAAGGGGCACAGATAATTAATAACATGAAATAAGGGGCAGAGATAATTAATAACATGAAATAAGGGGCACAGATAATTAATAACATGAAATAAGGGGCACAAATAATTAATAACATGAAATAAGGGGCATAGATAATTAATAACATGAAATAAGGGGCATAGATAATTAATAACATGAAATAAGGGGCAGAGATAATTAATAACATGGAATAAGGGGCATAGATAATTAATAACATGAAATAAGGAGCATAGATAATTAATAACATGAAATAAGGGGCATAGATAATTAATAACATGAAATAAGGGACATAGATAATTAATAACATGAAATAAGTACATATATAAATGATAACATGAAATAAGGGGGCATTGAAAATTGCTTTCTAGATAGAAAGAATTTTGTAAAGTGAATGCAAAGAGTACAGAAACATCACAGTATGTAGTCAACACTTGATATCATTTCTATATGATTGACACCAGCATTCAAGAAGCACCATGTGATAACTGAATGTAATCTACTGGTAATTTATCAGTCACTAGGGGAACCAACACAAATACCCCCTAGCACAAACATACTAACTCATGTATGTACTACGTGTATGAGAATCACATAGAAATTAAGGGGAACCGGCATAAACTGGAATAGGTCTGATGCATAACCCTGCGAAAGGTCACACATCCTGATATTTCTGTGGGTACAAATACACAACAATAGGGATTTTTCAATTATCCTCTTTTTCAATAAAATGCAGGCAGTGAAGTTGAATACAAGTTTTAGGTAGTTCAAGACAATTTTAAATTTTACACTAGTGAACATCCAGAAAACTTACTGAATTAAATTAAAATTATATATTTTTAAAATATATTATACAACTTTTTCATCACATATTTCACCAAGCAAAATTACAAGATATGAAGAAATAATTTCACCATGGGAACCAGTGAAAAATTGCAACCGTTTTCCCGAGACATTTTGAACTCTTCTTTCTTGTAAAAAAAATCTGCTTTTTTCTTATTTTGGTATCCTGATTATGAAAGAATGACATATAATTTTGGATTAGCCACAAACCTCCTTGACACAGCATACATTGGACATTAAAGTTGGCCCACAACAACAATCCCCTAACAAGTACCGGAATGTGTGCCCCTTAGGGGTCATGCGAAGTACAAGGATGTGTGAACTTTAGGGGTCATGCGAAGTACCAGGATGTGTGCCCCTTAGGGGTCATGCGAAGAACAAGGATGTGTGAACTTTAGGGGCCATGAAAAGTACCAGGATGTGTGAACTTTAGGGGCCATGAAAAGTACCAGGATGTGTGAACTTTAGGGGCCATGAAAAGTACCAGGATGTGTGAACTTTAGGGGCCATGAAAAGTACCAGGATGTGTGAACTTTGGGGGCCATGAAAAGTACCAGGATGTGTGAACTTTAGGGGCCATGAAAAGTACCAGGATGTGTGAACTTTAGGGGCCATGCAAAGTACAAGGATGTGTGAACTTTAGGGTCATGCAAAGTACCAGGATGTGTGAACTTTAGGGGCCATGCAAAGTACAAGGATGTGTGAACTTTAGGGTCATGCAAAGTACAAGGATGTGTGAACTTTAGGGGCCATGCAAAGTACAAGGATGTGTGAACTTTAGGTGGTCATGCAAAGTACAAGGATGTGTGAACTTTAGGGGCCATGCAAAGTACAAGGATGTGTGACCTTTAGGTGGTCATGCAAAGTACCAGGATGTGTGACCTTTAGGTGGTCATGCAAAGTACCAGGATGTGTGACCTTTAGGGGTCATGCAAAATACCAGGATGTGTGAACGTTAGGGGCCATGCAAAGTACCAGGATGTGTGAACTTTAGATGGTCATGCAAAGTACCAGGATGTATGACAATAAATAATAAGATCTATTGAAAATGATTTGTTAAACAACACTTACATCTCAGACTTTGTTTTCGTAACACTTCCTGCATCACTTTGAGTTTATCTTCGTAAGCTTTGCATAAAGCAACTGAATGCTCTGAAAATTTAATACAAAAAAAAAAAGATGGTAAACATGAGATATGTAACTGCTTAAGAACTGAATACCAGTCTGTGATTGATTGAACACCAAAAAGAGGTTGACCCCAAGCACAAGATTGGCAAAATCTCGGCCCCATGTTTGTTTGTTTTATGCGATAATTCCTTTAGAACCTGACTGTAGAATCTTGCGTGAAATTACTAAGAATGGTCTGTTCATGCGCCCTCTATAGTTGTCACCACATTTTTGAAATATGCTAATGAGTAGCAAGGACTTGTAAGCTGCCAACCAATACGAAAGGCAACTTTTGGTCCAATCTACACAACTATAACACATGCATGGCCTGACGCATAGAATTTAGAAATGAATACACCTCAGAATACCCCAGTCATGGTAATTTCGTGTCAGTCAATGATTTAAGCAAAAAAAATTATAAAAATGCCATGGCTCGCCGGGCTGGTTTCTGTGGTAAAATACACTGTATGTATGCATTATATTGCTATTATGATAGGAAGATGGTCACACAGCTTATCACACAATTAAATGTTTGATTCATGTTGAACAATAGAAATTGTCTGTACTCGGTTAACGCAGGTACTTCCATGTAGGTACTTCCACACCGATACATTTCACTCGTAATGATTTCACCAAAACGTTAAATAATTTTACCCACGACATAAACGCAACTACGGAGAAGCATGACAGACGCGCGTCGAACGTCTGTCGCAAAAGTACAACGATTTGATTTTGAACTTGAATTTCTTAATTTTGTAGCACACATAGAGCGGCTGATCTTCGACAGAGGAATATTGCTTCCGACTACCCTTACTTAATCGAAATTGCTTATCATCAAATGTGTACAGCACATTATTAAGCATGGAAATGCCCCCAAAATATTTTCGCGTTTGTCGCCACCCCACGTGACGTTTGACGCCACTACGACGCTATGACCTTTGTTTGTCCTGTTTTTACGTTCGATTTCACGCATAACGCGTGATTCTCACAGTGAACGGAAAATGGTCAATTACTGAATTGGTTTTGAGGCAATACTTAAATTTGATCGTAACATGCATTTGTAGGTATGGCAAAAGATTCATAGATCCCCAGCGAGCATGGCCATCATTTTGAAAAATTAGTCTTCAACTGGAAACACTTAATTGTGCCAGGAAGTGGGTGTGGCTACAATTTTTTTTTCAATTATACTCTAAGATGATTTACTATGTGATTTTGGTTTTTAACAAATGTTTGTTTCAGGGCAATTTAACAGAAAAAAAAAATGAAAACGTGTAGGTGGGCATTTCACAGACACATTATTAATATTAATGTGTGCTAATACAGAAAACATAGTACTGTAAAGGGGTTCATTATTCACTGGGTTTTAATTTTGCTTATTTCGACTGGAAAATGCACTAAATTATAACCCAGTGAATATGTAAAATTGAGCATAGAACACATTATCTAAATTATAAAACCGTGAATTTAAAACCCACTGAATATGCCTGAAATGGTTAATCAGCGAAATTCAAACCCAGCGAAAATTAGTCATGCATTCCCTGGAGGGGCACCCTCAAGGGAGGAAATACAGTAAATTACCTTTTGGCAATCCCAGCTGCTGCAGTTCATTGGATAAAGACTCCCCATCTACACTGTGCTTGGCTGCATTGGTTAAAATAAACGACAACGCTGCTATGGCTCCCTTTACATCGCCAATTTCTACAAAATAAATAAAAACAACAAGTGCAACAAGCATTAAAGCGGGAGAGTCGTCACCTTCGCATGCGTCAGATGGCTATAGCGTGTCATTGTTTACAAACAAGCGTCTACCCATGAGCCTTTGCATTTTTAGAGTGTGTTGTTATCGTCGCTTGGGACTCAATTCCCGCGCATGGGCAAGTGACGACCCTCCCGCTTTAAGTATTGGCTTGCATGAACTACCGGTACTGGTAGTAATAAGCCACTGGGACAACATCAATGATGTGTTCAAAAGACTGGAAAATATGAATTTTAAAATTGAACAGTATTAATTAATATGCAGTACACACCATCATCATGTACATTGTATTCCTTCATTATATGCACAGTACAGTTTGTGTGCAACTTAATTTGCAAGCTGACTCAATTTTTGAAATTTTATTGTGGCTTTAGGCCTGTACACTGATTGTAAAGGGGTAATTATTCACTGGGTCAGTGAAAATAGCTAAATTCGAGAAAACAGCACAAACTCAACTTTGAAGTAATCCTGAACAACCAAATTTATATGCGTTACACAAACAGGGCTAATCTTGTTACATTGTTAAGGGAAGTCTCAACAACCATCCAAAAGTACCGTTTTCTGAGAGGTTTCAGCTTGTGTTTTCACCGTGATGGTTGCCAGGCGGTGAAAATGCCTGGATGTCTGCCCTCAAGAATAATTAAACATTATCGCCGCAATGTTTTATCATGCACGACCTCATTGGTGCAATAGTCAAAGTACTGAATGCTCGTCTGAAAGCAACGTAAATTTGCTGACTAACATGCTGTATTGGTAATAGAACATATGATATATACTGTAAAAGGATTAATTATTCACTGGGTTTTAATTTTGCTCATTTCGCTGACTGGAAAATGCGCTAAATTAAAACCCAGTGAATATGTAAAATTTAGCATAGAACACATTATCTAAATGATAAAACCGTGAATTTAAAACCCACTGAATATGCCTGAAATGGTAAATCAGTGAAATTTAAACCCAGTGAAAATTAGTAATTTTACAGTATGACATTTTTGGCGCCATTTGTCTCAGTGAGTGACAGTGTTCAATAACATGATTTCATTTCCCCCACATACTACATTCAGTGTTTGCAGATGATATAACTATATCAATGTCATGATTTGCCAAGATGTTTAAGTACGACTAACGCTTTTGAACAAAGGATTATATAATGTAAAACCTTTTGAAAAAGTAACAAATTGTGGTAAAATGACATACCGTAAAAACTCGATTAATTCGCGGTCTCTATTAGTTCGCGCACCCATTTTATTTTCGAACGCTAATTTTTAAATGTATCCTTTTAATTCGCGGCGTTCAAAAACATGTTTAAAATTGTATCCTATTAATTCGCGGGCCAGAATAAAGTGGATAACTCAGAATATATTGCATGAAGACATTAAAAATATACATATAATTTTATGTTATCAGTACTTGGTGTCGCCGCAATCCCAGATGATCTCCGTCATCACAGCCTTTCAGTTAGCAAGCAGTTTAGGTTCGGTAAAGATTTGACGTGAAAAAAATCATTCCCCCACGACACTACAGATGTTGGGCAAGATTATTACATAGTCAATAAATCGGTCAGCACATCGATTACGAATTTCCGTGATGGAAAGCTTAGTACGGGACTTTTTCGTCGCTGGTCCACAGGGTTGCATCGACCATGTGCCCGCCATTATTCTATTACGTCATTTAAGTGAACCGCCCTATGGTGCGTAAATTGACATTTTTGATTGGTCGGGCGATTGACCTCGTGTTACATTTCCATTATACCTGATTCGGTAAAAAACACAGAGTTAAGCGGTCATGTACTTTCTATAAATCTAATCTTGCACACATAATCTTGTACTGATGTGTTTTTTGTCCAAGAAAGATGTTCCCTTTCATTTAACCCCCAGTTAACTCTTCACATCCATGGTATTTGTGAGAGTTAAAAGATTTTTCGAACAAATGACAAGTAACTATATTGATTTGCGTCAAGCTGGGTGGCCCGAATTTAAATATCAGTGCATAAACCAAACGCGTGGTTATTAGAGTTCAGTCGAAATGTACGTGAATAATGCGATCGAAGTCCGCTGCCCAGAGTTTATTATATTATAGTAAAATTTAATTTGACGTATGGTATATGTTTATGTTTGCGTAATTATTATGAATGCAACACATTATCAAGTCGGTGATATTGAAATATTCACAGACCCAATACCCCGGGTCAGTGCCCTAACAATAGTTAAAAAAAAAAACTAATTATCATGAAAGCAATACGTAACGAAAAGAAAAAAAGGTTGCTAAGGTAACGCGCCAGTTCAGTGCGTGACTTGGGGGTCAAACTTCGGTCAACCATGGAACTATAAACCCCAGGAAGAACAACCACTTCATTTCCTTTGAACTATGATAGTTGCCGCAATGACGAATGTTTATTTCGTCGCATTAAAAAATAAGCCGATTTACGCAAATGAACGTTTATCTCCAACTATCGGTCATTTTTGGAGTCAATCGGGCGACTTCTGGAGATCCTGTGATCAAGTTGTTTCGGTTATAGCATAAAAAAACAATGGCGCCAAGACAAAAACACTGAGCGACATTCAACGGGAAAAAAAACACATTGCCACTTCTGGCGATCGAAGGGAAACACGGAATAAGTGGGGATATCTCGACAACAAACAGCATACCAAACCCCATGTTTCGCAAACTTTCGCAACCTTATTTTTTCGAGGGTTGAACAAAACAAGAAGTAATCTAAAAACGACATTGAAAATTATGAAAACTCGCTAAAACTCCGACCCGTTGCATGATTTCCGGTACACTGAAGGTCACCCTGCAGACCGACTTGTTTGCGCATGCGTAGTGAACGAAATATTTTACAGATATGAAATTTTTTTTTCAAGTTTTCCGTTTCCAGCAAAGCGGTTGAAACGGGCGTATCGGCGACAACTAACATGGAGTATGACTAAAGTTGTGGAAACAAAAGCGAAAGCACTGTAAGATAAACTAAGACAAAGGTTTTTTTAATCCTTTTAGTTTCGTTGTTCTTCCTGGGGTTTATAGTTCCATGGGTCAACACACACTTGATGTCAGCATCGCCGTGCAACAAGTTTCGCAAAAAAGTACTTGAAGTACAATTGCGTCCCAAAACGATGTCGCTGATCACTCAGTTGTCGCAGCGTGTGTTGTGTCATGTCCATGATGCACCCCGTTTCGACTTTGGCTAGCTTTTCCTTCTCAGTGATGCGACCTCTCACCAATTTATTAAAACACTTTGAATTTATACTTTGCATGACTATATTTGGTCAACGCGAAACATTATTTTTTCTAAACATTTTCTGAGACCATTTTTATCAACGCAGGGTTATTTTTCCTGACAAGATGGGCTTCGTAATATCTGCCATAACATCGCCCAAGCGATGCCTAGAAAAACAAGTCATTGTCAATGACACGTCCCCGTTCCATTCATATTTGAGTGACATATACATTCAAAGCAGATCATGACCGAAATGCACCTGCATATGTACAACACATTGTGCTAAATCTGAACAAAATCCATCCATGCATGACTGAGATCCGGTTGTGGAATTGTGAAAATACGTGATTTTGATGCATTTTCGGCCTTAAAATGGCCATCATTCCGCTATTGTTAAGCAGATCATGA